AGATCCCTGCCAAGCTCGACGGCGAGCGCCAGCCTTGGTAGTCTGTGTGTGTTGTAGCATGTTGTGGGTAGTGAGGGGTGGGGTAGGAGCAGTGTTCCTCGGCCGAGTCCGAGAGTTCTTTTGCCTTGCAAACTTTGCGCATCAGGTTCAAGCACAGCTGGGGCACCGCAGAGAAGCTCTACAAGTCCGAGGCCATCGACTCCTTCGGCAACAAGTACCTCCTTGGTGTCTACGAGACCGTGAAGGAGGCCGAGAAGGCCTTCGACGAGTGGAACAAGGAGCACCCTGGCCCCCCAAGCAGCCTTTTCTTGGAACCGCGTTTCTGTGATCCTACTCAAGTACAGACAGCTCTTCAGCCTTGCCTCGAAATCTGACATTGGCCAATCCCAACCACGTGCAAATCGAGCCTTGGCCCGGCAGGCGCTGAAACAAGCCGCTCAGGTACGAGCAAGCCGGCGCCGATGTCAAGGAGTCCCTCAGTGGCTGGGCCAAGCAGCAGGAGGCAGCGCTCGCCGAAGACCAGGTCGGTGCGTTTCCGTGGGGTACGAAATTGAGAGCCTTCAGCTATTACTTACTAGTAACAGGCTTCCCAAACAAGCCATGTTGCATTGTCTGGCAATGGCCAAAAACTGGGCCAGACAGCAAGTACTTGCCACATGCCACACTTGTGATTGAATAGGCGCGGAGCAGCGGCTTTACGTACAGGGATCATATCGGGGAAATTGTGGGTCCCTGCGAGGACGAGGTGGACCGCCTCCGCAAAGCGCTCGAGGAGGCGCGCCGCTGAGGCGGAGGAGTGCACGGCTTGGCCCCGCTCAAATCACCCGAAGAGGTGGCCGAGCATTAGTAAGTCCCTGCCTCTGCAGGGCCAGCAGGAACATCCTGTCGGGCAGACACTGTTGTGGTCGGGTTTGACGCTAAGGGGGTGTTATAGAGTCACAGAACAGGGCAGGGCGCAGCTGTGCACACACTGCCCCTCAATGCATTACATGAAGCATGTCATCGGTTTCGGTCTAATCTGCTTGGAGGTTGATCCTTCGAACTTGAAGCTCGAAGACATTTCCAGGGATCCAGGTTCTCAATCTAAGAAGTTTATCATGGTCAAACTGCGCACGACGAGGTTTCAAGCACCACAGGATTTCGGGTTTCGTGTCGTTTTCAACAGTGGCTGCCACACGGGAGTCGAAAGCCCACGGTCTTGAGACCGACGCAGCAGGGCACCGAGACGCCGATTCGTCCCGGATTAACTGTGTGGTGTGTATATCGCATCAGTTCTTCACCGTTGCATGCGCCTACGCGCAGCGAGCAGTTTTTGTGACCGATGGTCATAAAAAGTAAAGGCCAAGAACTGGCATTGCCTCGTCCGCTGTTGGGAACAGGGGACTTGCAGGTTAGCCGCGGCTAGGGCAATGTCTGGACTGTCGAGCTTGTTTGCAGCTGGTCTTGTGGAACAAGACGAAACGTCAAACATCCTCTTAGGTGCAAGGAAGAATCGGAGAAGGTCGTTTTCGCTACGTACGAGGTGCGGCGCATGGTGGGATCAGAACAAACGTGGCAATAGCATGATGGTGAGCACTTGACAAGAGATTGTTCCGGAGTCCTGTCTTGCACTGATTGCGACTTGGGCGGCGTTGTCTGTTTGCGTGCTTCAGCAAGTTCGGACATCATGAACGTCTTATTAAGATCGCTTACTTACGCACGCGCATACATACGTACATCCAACCAAGACACACATTCGTGAACCTCATCGCGAGGCCGCCGTTGATGCTGCACGTGTGGAGGAGGCAGCTGCCGCTGCAGCGCTAGCAGAGGCCCCGAATTTTCCCAGCAAAACTCGCGCTCAGTTTCGCCAGAACTGCTGAAAGGGTCCCTCTCTGAAGCTGCAGCATGCTAGCTGGTCGAAGCTTGTTTTGGGACCTGCTGTTGTCCAGGGATTTCAGATTTCAGGAAGCAGTTGTGACTGTGACTGGCTGATGATTTGGGTGCATGACTCCACCTTCAATATGGCAGGCATGCGCAGCCAAGCAAAAGTGCATCCAAACTGCCCAGCACCGCCCTGTAAAGTTCCTTCAGGCGCAGAGATGGAAAGATCAAATACCAGCCCGGGCCTGAGATTGTTTCATAGCCTTTCTGCGGCTGATCCGGCCTACCACAGCAATGAGATGCAATGAGGAAGTTACAACACTTGGATAGTCCAAGAGGTGCTGCTACAAGAAATTCACTAGCTTTCTGAAGGTTGCTGCAAAACGAACATGGCACTCGTCCTTCTTCTGCGGCCGTTATGCCGTAGATTCATGACACGGGTGACAATGACACGAATGGACTCGTGGCCAAAGGATAGTCATGACGACGCGATACAGAAAGGTTAATTTTGAAGGGGCCGGGCTTCACGTCGGGCCGTTCGTTCCTTCTAGACTCGGATCTTTTCTCAAGGGTGCTTTCTCTGGAGGATGTCTGATTTGTGTGAGGAAGGCGCAAATACCCGAAACGCAAGCCCGTGGCAGGATGTCCGAAACCTTAGCCCAGCAGCCAATGCTACCAGAGCCCTAGAATGCATCCTTCAAGGCGATCGTCGTATCCTGGGTCCAAAGTGCGAGTGTTCTGACTGAGGGCCTGGAGGCAGAGGCCGATGCGGAGATCGAGGCCTTTCTAGCCGAGGCAGCAGTGCAGGAGGCCTGGCCGGGGGGCGGACTTTGGTGATCTCTTGGCGATCTCTTGCTGTCTCCTTTTTGGGGGAACTGTGACTTGAAAGACCCGTGGTTCGAGGAACAGCTGCGGCGGGACTCCGAAGCACAAGCCTCTCGGCTGAAAGCATGCGTTGGAACTGGATGGGTCAATGCTCTTGCGATTTGTTCCACGTGGCTAGGATGTTGACGACGACGGCGACGACGGTTGAACTTACCTGCTGTGGATGTATTGCAGCCATCACAGCCACCATGCCCAAGACGACGATGACTGCGAGGATCAAGGACGATGACGACATGCAGGGAAGAACAAAAACAAGAGACGCTGAACAGTCGTCATAAGCTTCGCGGCAGTAGTCGCTGTAGTATGTCGTTGTCGTCGTCGGAAGGCTGGTTCGTGTTGACGCTTAACTACCTGCACCCCGACAGCACAATTCCAGACTTGCTCAGTCTCGACGAGTGCCACTCACAAAGTCTCAACTCGTGAAAATGCTGCCTCCGCTGCAACAACAACAACCTACAGTACCACCGCCACGACCACTATTGGAACAACTACCACGACCACCACAATCGCCGCCACCACTACCGCTACCAGCGCCACCGCTGCCACTGCCACTGGCACTGCAACTACCGCGGCGAGGCATTGGTTGGGACTGCCGCGGTGACGACGACCATTCGTACTACGCTTCTTACAAATTAAGCTTTGACCCCTGATATTCTTGAGTACAGCTCAGGTGAGCCTGTCGAAGCGTCTCGGAAGCAAGCCCCTGTTTGTGCTCTTAAGGCATGGTCCAGCTTGGCAAGGCAACTTTCGAGCAAAGCTCAGTTCAACCTGAAACCCAGCTTGCTTTTCAGGTTTTACCTGTAGTGTCCATACCAGATCTCATTTCTCGTAACACTTGTAATGCACATCAATCGTAGAAGCTGAGGCGGCTCACGCAAACGGCTCATGAAGAGGAGAAGGTGCGCCTCGATTCTTGCGCACAGTTACACAGCAGGGTGGCATCTTCATGTCTTCAGAGATGCGCTTGTTTCACCTTTGAGAAATGGCTGCGCAGGTCTACATTACTGAGACCTCTGCTGCCTGGGCTCGGGTGCGGAAGGCAGTCGCAGGGTTTCGTCTTCATGTGCTGGTGCCGAAGACTTGGGCTCCAACAAGATCCAAAGCCCTCAGAGGCTGTCAACATAGGATCCATTGATGTATGCATGTATTAACATGTACAGTAACTATTATGCATGCATGCGCGCAGGCTCGGCTTCTTTAGCTGGTTCTTCGGCCGTTTCAAGGTTCAGAACAGGCGCACACATCCACAGAAAACATACGCATCGGAGGCAAGGTGAGTTCCACTCCAAAATTCATTCACAAGGCCCGGAACCGGTCACCACATTGCGACGGGGCCCGGGGTCGACATGCGGACCCCTTCCGTGCGCCAGGCCTGTTATCAGCTGCGCCTGGCAAGTCTGCATGAACCTGGGCTGCATTGGGTCGTCTTGAGCGGGGTGCTTGACGGACGGACACCTACAGGTCATGACTCATTACCAACCTCTAAATTCATCGACCCCACCACCGCTAGCTCAGAGAGGGCTAGGCCTGCATCCTGTTCACCTGCTTGCGCTTTGTGTGCAAGTTTGGCGATGCGAGGGCTTCGGAAAATATTCATGGAAGTAGGGTTTGACTCCAGGACTTCGCGAAAGGCATTGCATCGGGCGGCTTCGACCAGAAGCTGAAAATGGACGACGACTAGTGTCTTAAAAGCTTCTGGATCGGGCGGTTTGTCACAAAGGTTGGGTTTTCTGGCGCTGAGCGGCAGACCAAGCCGTTCCTGTTCCGTTTCAGTCAGAGGGAAGAAGACCTTCTCTCTGTAGCCTTCGTCCCTAGCTTTCCTGTGGGAGCATGGCGAGAAAAGGCCCGGCGCCCTGAGTATTCCATCCGAAAGGGTTCCTACCACTGCGGCGGCTGTCGAAACAGCTGTTCCTGCGGCAGAAACTGCCATCAACATATTGCACTTTTACAGGTCATGCAGCCTTTCGGATGTGTGGACGCCGGTGGAAGCCGCGTGGCCTTGGAGTTTCACCTGGACACTGTAAAGTGTGCTTTAAAAACAGCATGAAGACTTGCGTTCGCTTGCTTACTGCTGCCTGAGCGTGCCATGTGCTGTTCTTCGCCAATGCTTTCATGTCACCGCTTGCATTGGAGTCAGATGGTGGTATTGATCTTCGAAGCCTTGTGGAGTTTCCTGTTTGAGAAGTTTGGTTTCCGACATTCCAGCTCGGTTGGGACAGCCCCATGTCGCCTAAACCTCCGCCGCAGGGTCAGCGCCCAGGCCTACCAAACCCCCCACAACAGCTATCGTCGCCACCGGGTTGTCAAGTCTTGGCTTAGAGGCGAATGGTGTAAGGCTTTGGTCACTAGGGCATCTAAGCGATCATTCATCGATCAGACGAATGCTTAAGCCAGCTAGGGAGGTTCTCTGTTGGATGCTCAAGCGGGCATGCTCCCGCGCTCGGCTTTTCCTTCGGCTAATAGCCGCAGCCTCCAGCCATGTGCCGCCGGCCACCCTGTTGCCACTGCAGCTGTCCGCAGCTTCAGGAAAACTTATGAGCACACGCTGACCGCCGCGAGGGACAAGGCGGTACGCATAGAGTGCCTCACCTCACGACTGTTGAAGCCTTCTCAGAAGGGTAGTTTTCTAAATTAGGGCCCCTTTTTGGGTCCCCAATATAGTACGGCACCCTTATAAAAAGGGGACGGACCCCCAAAAGAGACCCTAATTTAGAGGACTACCCAGAATGACTGTAGAGGTACTACTGAAGCCGGACTTTGGAGGTCCTTTTGTGCCTGGCCCAGCTGCTTTTTGCACTGAGTGCTTTCAGTTGTGACTCACGAAATTCGGATCTGCTAGATATCTCGAAATATTACTGAAATCTTTGCCATTTTGGGACACAGCGTCGCACCCTTGATTGGCCCAGAGACACCCCCAATCCCTCATCATCAAGGAATATTCCTGAACTTACAAGAACAAGCCCCTGCAACTTCCGGAGCATTCCTTAGGGGTTGTAGAGTTTCTTGGGGAGGTTGTTTTCCAGGCTTCTGCAAATGTCTAGCCCGGCCAACTGTGTAGGATGCAGCGCAGCATGGGCCTTCTGGTTTGACCTCCATGTTTTAAGAAGCATCTCAGCAGGGACTAGACGGCCCCTTACAGGATCAACGCATAGAAGCCCGAAGAGGTATCCTGCTATTGATGGGTGAGATAGATAGGGCCGCTTCCTTCGGCGACATTCAGCGCAAGACACACCTCACATGTGCTAGCCCCAATGCAGCACTTGGTAAAGGCGTTAACCGATCCAGTTGTGACCCACGAGACTACGTCTCGGGTTTCTAGAACCTAGTTTCGTCGATGCATCTTCGCGCCTTGATCTACGTCCGCTAACTGGACCTGCACGGAGTTTTGGCTCGAGTGCATCACCCCTGACCCCTTTTCTCCATCACGCCGCTTGGCTGTGTCTACTGCTTTTTCGTGTTGGGGTAAGGCTAGGTAGGATCGACGCAAGCACGACATGAAACAAGATTTGTGTGTTTGAAACTGTTACCGTGTTTTTTGCAGAACATTGGAATGCCGTGGAATGCGAGCAGACCAGATAAACCGCCACATTTCACCGATACTGCCTGGGTAGGATGCTTGCGACGTGCCGTCATCTTCTTCCAAATTCGTGATGCCTTTGGCTGAAACGGAATCGCGCAAGCCACCCGATGTCGCAGAGGTCAGGGATGACGCAGTCCCGGCTTTTGCCAACGGTGCTGCTGGCCGCCTCGTCATGGCTCCTGATCTCCCTCTTCGGTTCCCAGCAGAGCCTTGGCGCCGCAAGACACGGAGAGCGTCTGGCATCCCCTTTTGGTCCAAGATTGAAGGCTTTTCTGTTCGCCGGTGCCCCAATCGGAAGTTGAGGACCTCCTTCCTGACGGGCACTTCGCCGGCAGGTTCTCGCCAGAGCCGAACTGCCATGCGAGGTTTCAAGGATGACTTCTACGCATGGAA